AAGTTCTAAAGGTCCAAGGTTATCTACAAACAGGTTCTGAAGACCAAGTACTGAAGAATCTAAAGACGCTGTTCTTAAGACTCTAAAGACTTGGAGCTCTTCTAAGCTAAAGGTTCGCCACAACGGGTTCTCACGACCAAGTGCTGAAGACTATGAAGATACAGTTTTGAAGACTCTGAAGACTTGAAGTTCTGAAGACCTTATGTTATGTTCCCGCTTCTAACCTAATGCTCGCAGAAGCCTCTGAAGTGTAGAAGGAAAGAATATAACGACAATGCAGTACAATAGTACACAGTACGAAAAGCTTTATTCCACTACCTCTCCAATAACTTAAAGTGTGGAAGAGATAAGGATGTCGTAGTACTATTTGTAATGACTCTTTTTAAAATAGCCAACGAATCTATGTTGCTTGGCCATATAAGAAAAGAATTGTATGTTTAAGACTATTGATATTTGGTAGGTTGGTCAGCTAATTGCTTAATGCATGATGATGAACGAGGTGAATATTAGTGAGCTTGGTGTATGTTGCTTTGTTGGTTGCTAAAAGCTACAAGTTGTAAGTCACAAGTTTTTGATGTTCAAATACTAAAAAGGAAAGCTGTCATCATTGGAACACAATCAAAAATCTATCAACCACTATAACAACAACCAGAACAACGGTTATCAAAATGATTCTTCAATCATGTTGATATTTATTACAATGAAATCATAGATTCACAATGTGCTTAATCTCATATGCTGCACAAATCTTGCAAAGCCGCAGAAGATAACAAAGATGACCATGAAAGCTCCAGTTACAAAACCAAAACATAAATGTTGTGCTCTAAGGTGATCATTGAAGAAAGTAGAACAAGGGCTGTTGTCCAGAATGTTCTAAAGTGAATCTAGATGAAGAAGTTCTTCTATTTACTACATCAAGATCAACAAAGCTTTCAGAAGCTTATGAAGAAGAAGACTTCAACAACTCAAGTGCCTTGGTTTTTTGTCCGTGAAGAAGCTACTTGAAGAAAAGAAGACCACACATTGAAGCTATAATAAAATGTAATATATTTTAGTGTGTATTAGATTCTTATGATGTACTTAATTCTTTTTACATCCAGCTTGTGTAAAAACACTATTATTGTAAACAAATATAAATCAAACAGTTATTTGATGGTTCCTTGAGAGACTCGGTTGAGTCAGAATTCTCAATAAGACTTTGGTTGCGGTCGTCGTAGATGAAATCCTGGTAGTGGATTCTATTGGTTCAATGGTAATCATATCTCAAAGAGGACCAAGTGAAGGTCAACCTTCAGAGATCACTGATGGATATCATTGGAAGGAAATCCTGATAGGAGATTCTGGAGAATCAGATTCTGTTGGGTAAATGAATGTTATATCTGATTTGGATCCCTGAATGTTTCATTGTTTGTTAGTCACTGGCAGTTGCCCGTGCGATTGTAATCAGATTGGTCCTAATGGATTAAGTCCTTGAGTTCAAGGCGAAATCACCTCAGAAGGGTGGACTGAGTTAGCTTGGGGGTTTCTCAAGTGAACCATGATATATCGTGTGTTCTTTACTTTTGCTTATGGTTTAGAGTTTATGTTTTCTGAACTTAATTAAAAGCATTACTTAGAAGTAACAATCAGAAGCATTGTTCAACGAATAATGCTTAGAAGCGAAAGTTTTACAAGAAAGGAAAACTAAATTCAAACCCCCATTTCTTGCATTTTCTAAACACCTTTAACGATAACTAAAGTAACTGCTAAATTTCAGTGTAAAAACCATTGATCACCAACACCAAGATTGAAGACTTGTTTTAAGTGATTTTGTCAAGGCTGCCACCCCTTACCTAAAACCCTTTTAAAGTGTTTTTTGTTTAAGTTTTTTTAAGAAAATCTATATTTTATTTTTGTCCAGTTTATCTGGTTTATCATTTTTTTGTCTTTGTATCTTTATCTATTTCAATCAAATGAAGTTTCGTTTTTCTCTTTTCTATTTTTTTTATTGATGAAAAAGGGGGAGAAACATAGATATAAATTTGATATACTTATATTCCTCTATAATCTTAAACATCTGACTCTGACAAAGTTTGAATGATCTAGGAACTCTGAAAAAGTTAACTAATGCTACTAATCAGAAAAATCTAGAAATTATTCAGATATCTATGAACCATGAATCAGAAAGTCTGAGATTAAGCATGCTCTGACAATCTGGATCATATATCTTAAGATCAAACCAGGTTCTGATAGACTTTACTAGGCTCTTGTGCTTCATCAGGCTTTGATATAGGCCAGGTTCGGAGACAAGGAATCAAGGAATTTTAGTCAGATTCTTATACAAGGAAGTTTTTGTTTTCTTGCTGATTAAAGTATTTTATGTATCAATTTTTTTATAAGTCTTAAACTCAGGAGGGGTCTATAAACTTCATTCTGAATAAGATGAGAAAATTTTGGTAGTATAAAACTCAGGGGGGAGCTTACGAGCTTTCTAGCTTTTACTATGATAAGTTTTATGTGATTAAACCAAGTAAAAATTATTCATCAAAATACATAGTTTTGTCATCATCAAAAAGGGGAAGATTGTAAGAACAAGATTTGGTTATGTATCTGGAATTAGGTTTTAATGATAATAATACATAGTTTCACAAAGAACAATTTTGTACCCCTAATGATTTTGTTAAGTGTGAAGCTATTAGAAAACTAGTTCTAACTCTAAAGAAGTGATGTGTGACGTCACGTGACTCTGAACATAACATATTCTGACTCAAAGATGAAAACAAGTTATGTTCTACAAAGATAATTAATCTCTGGATTACTCTACTCAAATATTCTGATCATCGCTCATCTAAAAAGCTCCAGTTTACGACTCTGATAGAGAAGCCTCTGATGTTATCAAGCTCTGAAGCCGTGCACTCAACAAGCTTTGATAAACAGTGTTACCAGATTGTGGATATAGATTCTGAATACCAGGTTCTAAAGACTCTTTTATATAGACTTTGATTCTTCTTTGCATGCTTCATCAACTCTCTTTCTGAAGCCTCTGAATATTATAAGATAAGATCAAAAGGTTTTACGTGAGAAAATAGTACACAATACAAAATCAATATTCCTTTCACTACACTAATTTCGTAGGAAAATGATTGTACTATTATACCATTTTGTCTCCCGTTTTCACAAAACCGTTATACAAGGATACAACTATACTTTTGTGGAATTCCATTTTCACTCTTCAACATATCTTTTCATTGCCTATGTAAAGGATTCTTAGAAGAACGGAATAGTAACTTTTACGTGAACATTGTAATACTGTGAAACATTTGAGAGAAAGAAAAGGATACACACAAGGAACTTTTGTTCATACTCTTTCATATAAATACTTTTGTGTGTAAATTTTTGTAATACATTTGTATAATCTACTTTCATAGAAGCATCTTTGTAACACACAATGTTTCTCAATTTTTGAGTTGTATTTCCCTGTGAGACTAGGGTATAGTCAGGATTTCTCAAAAAGATAATGCTGGTTAGTCTTTGTAGTTGTAATCAAGTTTGGTTATAGTGGATTAAGTCTTTGTTATAAGGTGAAATCACCTTGGCGGGTGGACTGGAGGTAGCTTCGTTAACAGCGAACCAAGATAAAAATATTTGTGTTTATTATTTTTATTCTAAGTTCTTTTTTTGGTGTTTTGGGTAGCAAAAGATTTTATTCTAAAAACTCAATTCAAACCCCCTTTTCTTGTGTTTCCTTAACCTTCACTCTCTGATCCATTCCATAAGAAACTACTTTGAATTATATATAATTACTTCAACACTTTAACTGGAACCTTATAAAATGATAAAGTATAAAGAGGTATGGCATTAAGAACCGCATTAATCATGACCACCATTTCCGCCTGAGTTAAGAATCTCCCTCCATTTTGATAATCTTTTTCTCACCTTATACACTATTGAATTCCACATGCCAATTCTTCTAGGACTATCCCCCACCTTCAACCCAAATATTTAAATGGTAGAGTATCCATGAAACATTATAAAATTTAAGAGGCCGCCTGCGTGAACGTTTCCTTTAAATTTATCCCGTAAATGTTACTCTTGAAAAAGTTAACACACAAACTAGAGATCAACTCAAAACCCCTTAACAAAACTTTCACACTTCACAAATTACTCCAAGAGTCTCCCCCTACAACTGTATCGTCAGTAAACTGAAGCATTTCAAAACTCAGATTCTCATTCACCTAAAACCCCCTAAAAACGCCTGAAATCACCGACTTTTTGCTTAAAGCTGAAAGACCCTCCATTGCAATGACAAAAAGGAAAGGGGACATGGGGTCTCCTGCCTGAGACATTTCCCAACAAAAAAAATCTTTTATAGTACTATCATTAACCAATAATATAGACATTGAACTATTGAAAATTCATGTTTCCATCCGAGCTTTCCATTTCTCACCAAAGCCCATTCTATTAAACAAGTTTCTTAAATAACTCCAACTCATTGTAACAAAAAATAATAATTCAAACTCATATTATCATACACCTTTTTAAAACAACCTTTAAAATTAAACATTATCTCTTCTCTCTTTTAGCAATGTCCATGATCTCTTCTCCCTTTTTACAATTCAATGGATTCAATCATCTAGTTTAGCCTCTATTATATAAAGTGATTATAACTATCTGAAATTCACATGCATAACTGTGAAGTTTGAATTTCGAATTTTGATATTCAACTTAATAATGAGTTTTTATTTTAAAAATATACAAATATAAAAACGATACATTTAAAGAATGCAATCAATTATTTTGGTACATGTAAAAAAATCAATATCAATTAGTAAAACAATTGATTACAATTTACAATCACAAATACAAGCATAAAACGACATAGAAGCTAAAACAAACCAAAAATATATAGTACAAGAAACACTTTAACGTATATTATTAAACCAGAAGCTCTTATTGAGTTTCTACGTATTAAAGAACTAAGAACTTGTTATGCATATGCATGACGATCAGATCTAATTTCATCAACTTCCATTTACTTTCCTACAATCAGATCTAATTTCACCTCGATTTCCGACCAACGGTCGAATATTACCCATCTTAATCATGGACTGAACAAATGCTTCAAAAAAAGCTGTTTGGTTATTTGCAAACATGTTAACAATGGAGATTGTGGCAGCGCCATTAGTAGAAAACAACTCTTGGTCTGTTTGAAGAAGGCCTCGGTTGTTGAGAAGATTCTTGAAGTAGTTGTTGTCGAAATTATTCGGCGATGAAGGGTCCAGATTGTTTATTGTGTTGCCGTTTCCATTTTGTGGACAGTTTTGTTGTAGAGTAGCTAGATATGTTGAATTTAGAGTTGCATCGGGTTTACCAGTGTTGCTGAAGTTGAAGAGTCTCTGGTTGAAAAATCTACATTGTGCACGACCAAATGTATGTGCGCCTAATTTAAATTCATCCATTTGAATTAACCAATAGTTAACAAACATGCTTATGGTAATCATACATATAATTAATTCAAAAAGGGTTATAAAACATATTTTTCTTGAATTTCTTCAATCATCCTCTAATGCAGTCAAGTTTTCAACCATCAGATGCAATTGTTGTGATGGTTGAAAATTGACTGCACTGATTGGACGAAAGTAAAAACTAATATAATCGCTAAATTACCTGATAATGCGACTAGATCACTAGTGTTTAAGCCAACCGCGGTAAATTTGGCAGTGATATTTGCTAAGCTTTCGGTTGGAGCGGGGATGGAAGTGTTTGCGCCGGATTGGTTTGCAATTAGGCCATCCCTTCGGCCGAGCAGCACTTTCCAAGAAGGACCTCCTGCCTGCAAATACATTATCATATTTATCACGCTATACATTTTTTTTAATTGTCGTTTTAAAATTAATTGTATAAAAAAATCAATGGAATTTACTATTTTTAGTGTTTTTTATGATTTTTTATACCAAAAACACAGATGCTTCTGAAGCGAGAGCAAGAATATCAGCACAAGACACGACAGAAGGACATGATTTTTCAGCTGAGGTTTTGATGTTGTCAACAACGTTAAATCCACGAGCTGAATTATTGTTGGGAGCAGCATTTTTCTCACTCAATGTTATGTTGCCACCTTGATCTAACAAAAGAGATGCATCACAACCCTGAAAAATATACACAAATTAAGATGATTAATTATTAACAAATTAAACTCTATCTTATTAATCAAAGTGTGTTGGGAAATTGAATTACATTAACAAAGCAATCATGAAAGTGAAGACGGATTAGGCTCGCGCCGATACGAGAATCATTTTGCAGAGCTTGTTGAACAACATTTCTCACAATGGAAGAAACATTTGGGCATGTGTTGGAGTAGAAGGTTGAAATTAATTGAGCATTTGATGGATTAAGAAGGATCAGCACTGCTAAAATGGAATAAAGAGTAGAGCAATTCATGGTTAACTGGCTTCTTAATATAAAGTATCTTCTTCCTAATTCTGGTTTTAGATTTTGATGATTTCTAGGTAACATATATATATATATTGTGAAGAATGCACATGTGTCTAATTCAATTACTTTATAATTTGCTTGATGATAAAGTTTTCATTGGGAAATTACTTAGAACTTTAAGCAAACTTTGTTTCTTGAGGAAATTAAGCAAAGTAGTTTATATGGTAAAAAAAAAGACGAGATAAGATATTAATACTCAACACATTAGGTAGACAAGAGGACGTGGAAAGGAAAATTCAAACCATAATGATTGCTACACAACGTTCTCGTGCTACTTAAATGGTATTCCCTCAACTCTAAGATAAGCGATTTTGTTGACTAGTATTTCATAATAATTGGAAAAAAAAAATGTATAAATGAAAGGAAGAATGATATTTTGACTTAAAACTTTTTATTATGTATGTATATGTGAATTCATATTTGTCGTAAATGTAAAGTGGGATATATTACTCTCTCCGATTTTTTTTTTATAAGAAATACTTTATATTTTTAGATTTATTGAATAATTAATATACCCGCTCTGTAAGTAGTCTAGATATATTAATTGTTCAATAAATCTAAAAAGGTGAAATATCTCTTATAAAAAGGACTGGAGGGAGTATATTTTAAGTGATATAAATAGTACTCTCTTCGTTCTACAATGATTGAACAAGTCCACCATTTCACATATATTAAAAAAATGTAGAAAACTACTTCCTTCGGCCTGATTTATAAGTAAATATTCTTTTTTTAAGTTCATTGAGAAATAAATGTATTTAGTCTACATAAAAGACCAGATACATTCATTATTCAATAAACCTAAAAAGAGAATCTTTATTTATAAATTAGGCCGAAGTAGTAAGAGAGAAAATAATGTTTTTACTATAATATCCCTAATCATGTATTAGAAATGATGAAAGTTTAATTAATGAGATGGTAGAATTGAAAAAAGTGTATTGAAAATTAAAATGGGACATTCATTTTGAGACACTATTTTATTCCAAATGGATCACTTATTGTGAGACGGATGGAGTATTAACTAATGAGTATACTTAGAAAAATAAAGAATTAAAAATAAAATGGAGGTGGGGTGATGTTTGTAAATTCAAGAAGTTTGGAGGTCTCAGCGTATGTTTTTCGATTGAATAATTTGACTCTTTTGGACAAGTGGAGGTGATCGTTACTCTCATGTGACTCTGGGTCTGAAGAGGTATTTTTTCGGCTAGTTATGGAGTTATTCTGACGTCTTCTATGTCAGGAGGTAGAACTGTCACTACTATAGAAAACACATTTAACCTCGGTTGGATATGGGGTATTAACTCGATTTTATATGCGAGGTAACGAAGGGCGTCATAAAAAATGCGCCACATTACCTCTTGGTTGAAATCCACCGACGAGAAAGGTGTAATGGTCATGACTGCGATTCCCAACAATATCTTTTTTGGAATTTTTAAACGAAGAAAAATATCTTTTCTATCAATTTTGTCATTTAATCGCCAAGTAAAACATGATTGAGTTTATTATTATATCTAATGTGAATATCTTATTTCGCCAAGCCCTAACTACGCATATAACTTTTCAAATTGGTTTACAAAATAATTATATGAACAATTATGTTATATTTGAAGAACAATTTGCACTAATCAATGATTTTTGAGCATCCTTTAACTCATCATTCATCTTCTATTATTTAATGGTTAGAATCTTTTTCAATGTTTCAAGATATTCATTCAACACTTTCTTTTCTACTAATTCATTCTTGAAAGCATAAAATTTGATGCTGTGCAAAATGAACAGGTTTTGAAGAAAGTTGAACGAAAACTAGAAGTATTGAAGAGATTTTAGCCATAAAAGAACAATAGATGAATGATGAGTTACATAATTCTCGAAAAACATTGAATGAGTGTAAGATGTTTTTTCAAATACAACATAATTTTTCATATTATTATTTTTCAAAGTCAATTTAATAGCTTATAAGTTCAAAATCGAGTTAGTGAAACAAACAGTCGAAATTAGATATAATAAACTCAATTGTATTTTCTGTCACTATAATGTCCTGTTGACATGTTCGGTGGAACAAGACGAGAGCTGCACAAATAATCACAAAAACGTAATCACAATCTTAATCTCAAACTGAAACTTAAACTCAAACTCAATAACAAAAACTAAACAACATATAGCTTTTGAAACTTTGATAAGCAGAACAACTAAACAACAACAACAATAACATCAACAACTCAAAAACAACAATAAATAAAGACAACATCTTTAAAATTGAATTTCAATCTAAACAACAACTAACATTAAACAACAATTAAAAAAACAATCTCTCAACATATCAACATCAACAATAAACTTATAACATCAATTTTAATAAACCTTTAACATACTTATCTAAAAAACAACAACATATAACATCAATCTCAATTTAAACAAAAACAACATTAAACCTCTAGGCTTTCGGGTATCAACAACAACAACAATAAAAACAACTAACTAACTAACAACCAACCAACCAAACAAACAACCACAACAACAACTACAACAACAAAAACAACATTAATGTAACATGAGTTAAAGAAATGTTTAATGTACCAGATCCGGGAAGAAGAAGTAAAAGAAATGATTTTTGTCTTTCATTCAGGAAATTATCGAATGAGAGTCTTAAAGACATATCATCTTCATATTTCCTTATTTTTTTAGGAGTTGGAGGATGATATGTGCTTATGACTATCGTTGTTTAGGGCTCTTTGTTAGAGTTTTACGTGTGTTATCTTAGTGTGTTGTTTTAGGCAAGTGAAACTGAAAGTTACAAGTTAAGCTATATATATCAGATTAAACAATTTCACCATAGTTGAAAAATATAACGAAAGTGAAAAATGCTTATTTTTAGGTTAAAATTAAAAATATGCAGGAAAATGCCACTTTTAAAGTGTAAGTTAATAATGCGCCTAAGAGGGGGAGGGGTGAATTAGGTGATGGTCAATTTTTACCTTCTTTTAAAGTTCTTATTTTTATGATTATGGTGATGAAAGCAATAAAGTACATAAAATAAATGAACACCAGATGTATACGAGTTCCCCTCACAGATCGAGAGTACTCTAGCCCTCTTGCCAACTCGGAAGAGATTTCACTAAAGTTTAGAATGATTGCACAAGTCTAATCACACTAAAGGTTATACATTAATATATAATCTATAGGGAGATCAAAGACTCTCAAAACCTTTAAGATCTTCAACACTAAGTGCAAGAAGAAAAATCCTCTTCAATGCACACACTTGCTCCAACAATCCTAGAATGCAAGGTTAATCTTATATAAAATATGATTTTTATAAAGTATGATTAATTCTTAAATAACACTATGGTTATCAAGATACCTAGACAAGATTTAATAGGAAGTTTATAGTCAGATCTAGTGCTCAATATTTGCTGAAACAATGATGAGTATGAAAGTTCTAAACAATGTTTCATGCAATATGTAAATTCTCAAAGTTTTACAACACTTAAGAATTTTAAAATTTTGAATAATATGTGTTATGTTATGATCAGAGTGCAAATGAATTTTATATATGAAATGCAACCTTTCATTACACCTTAAATGAGTAAAAATGCAATGGTTGGACCCCAAGAGGTATCATCCAACAACCACGTAAAACAATTTTTTTTTGAATTTTTCTTCAGCGGTAACTAGTTACCGTAAGGCTGTAACCGGTTACACATGTACGATAATGTGTATATTTTCAAATTTGCATGCCTATAACCAGTTACTCAAAAGCTGTAAACGGTTACCACTGAACCAAAATTTTTATTTTATTATTGCGAAGCTCTGTAACCGGTTACTATAACCTTGTAACCGGTTACCACTGAGTGAAAGTGATAAAACATATTTTCTAAGTGATGGACATGCAATATTTTAATCTTAAATGATCATGACACTTATGTAAAATGTTTAGAGTATATTTTTGGCACTATATCATCTTAGAAACTTCAAATTAAAGCTTGTACCTAACTTATTGATGAATCTTCATAAATCTTCATCTTGAAAGTTGGTTGTACACATGTAGAAGACTTCAAAAAGCGATCTTGAAATATTATATGATCTTGAATATCTTCTTTTCCACAGTCTTGATATTTCCTTGACTTTATGTATGGTGGTCTTCATCAAAACACTTTGATTGGAGAACATGCAATCACATTTCCCCCCTTTTGATGTAGACAACCAATTTGACATTTGTAGCTTGTACATCAAGGTCTTTGAGTGTTGCTTGTATGTGTACTATAGTAATGTGCATTCTGCCCCTAAGTTGGATATCTCCTCCTGAATTTATGTAGCCTTTAAAGACTTGTTTTTCAAAGAGGAAGCTTAAAATCTGGAAAAAAATTCTGCATCACTAAACACAAGCCCACAATGTCTTCTCCCCCTTTGTCAATATCAAAAAGGATGGAGAAAAGAACGTAATAAAACATAATATAAAAGAAAAGTAAAAGATAACACAAGTTTATAACAAAATACAAAGTTAACTCATACTTAGAAACATATTGGACACTAGGACTTTGAAGATATAAACAACACGGAAGCAAATATGATACAAAATGCAAAAGATAAAAACATTACATAGGAAGAACATAAACAATAAACAAAGGTACTAAGGAATTTAGAAATCTTCATCATCACTCTTAACCATAGAGTCCTCTTGAATTGGAGTTTGAAGGGTTGTCAATTCTTGACGGATGTCTCGAAATTCCTAAATCATGAAATTTTCCATTGAGCAAAGTTTGTGATAAATCATCTCATTTTATATTTCGCCGTCATATGTGGGTGGTAGAGGATGTGCATCTTGATTGGAGGAAGTTCCTTTCTCTCTATGCTTGAAAAATCCATCGTCATCTTTTAAAATGCCTTGACAAAACCAAAATTTTGAAAAACTTCACGCGGTAATCGGTTACAGGCTATGGGTAACCGGTTACTGAAGGTGCCTGGAAAGTGAAAAAAGCCTCTGTTTGCATGGTAACCGGTTAATGATAGAGAAAAAAGTGAAAAAA